AAGGCATGTACACTAGCCCACTTCCAGCCCATGACACAGATGGAGATAGAAATATACAAGCGCTGGGCAACCAGTTTCTCTGATGTTGCTTTCTCTGTGGTGCGCTCTGCTGACAGACTGAGTTAGCCATCAACTCCCTGAGCAGGAGATGGACAAGTTCACTTGTGTTAAGCAAACTCTGTCAACGTGCTGCTCATCATTATCTGCCAGAAGCACTTAAAATCTGCATTACTTGTTGGGTTTGACACAGCTGAAAAAGCCATTAAACGTAGTAAGATGATTTGTCTGAACAACAGGGCCCAGTGTTTCTCGCAGCTACATGTGGAGCTGGAGCTGTTTGTGTGTTGTTCCGGTGACCTTCCATCCCCATGGAAAAGCAATGGATTCAGCAGAACTTTCCATGTATATGACCCACATCATGGAACCTCTTCACCTCCACCACTACTCTTTCCACAGGCTAGACAGGGAAGGATGATACACTGGCACTGAATCTCACTGGCACTGACTGTATACTGGGGTTGGCTATTCCTGAATTCTCCCTCTGGAACGGACTCCAAAGTGTCACTGTTTAGTGGAGAAAACGAGTAATAGACTCGCTGTGGGTGCTCCAACTGGTGGATTTACGGTGGCAAACCAACCAAGTTCGTGAGTTCTTCAAAACGATGCTGCTCAAGGTGTGCAAATTATTTCAAGGATTCCGTGTCGCTGCTGACAACATTTGGTGTAGCGTAAGTTAGCAAAACTTTTAAAAAGCCAGAATTTTACAAATGGCAGCTGTGGAGTGTCAAGTTCTGTGGTTTCAGCTGTGTAGCATATTGATGCTTTTTTATCAGAACAGATCATTTAGAGTGAAGCACTTGGAGCCTTTCTGAGTTTCTATGGTTTGGACTGACTTCGTTGTAATTTTAGTCAGTTCAGTTTATTATTTGCAGCATTAAAACGAAATGCCAAATTCAATTTGCTCAGAAAAAGGCATCATGGTCTAGAACAGTGAATTTCTTAGCAATTAGTTGTTGAAATTCCTGCTGAGTCCTTGGAAATACAGTACCTCAGTATATGTTAAAAGCAACAGGCCATGGAAAATGTTTTACCAACATGTAATTTTTCATTTGATCATCTTTGTGAAATTTGTAATTTGCTTCTTCCAGAGCATTTTTCATGCGCATTGTCCCAACAGAGGGTGAGGGGTTGAGGCGCTAAGAAAAAAGGGCTCACAAGGGTCTCGTAGTTTTTCCCTTGGTGGAGTCTCCTTTTAGAACCCCGACCTCACTTCAAGAAAACAAAACGCAGAGGAGAAAAATAACCTCAAGGAGAAGCCGTGGCATAGTCAACCACTGGACACTGAGCAGCACAAAAGCGCGTGTGGGCTGTCCTCGAACTCCCTTCACCAAATGTGTCCACGTAGAAACCCACTTCCCATAGGGATGTGTCTGTCTTCTGACAGGCAGAAGAAAAAAAAAGTGGCATTCAGACAAAACCATGAGGTGAGCAGACAAATAAATGTGCCCTTTAAATCTCCTGAATGAGCCTCGCACACACGAACACATACAAATACAGCAGCGCCTGGGGTTAGACCCATCCCGTCGTCTCAGACTGCTGATGCTGTCCTTACTGTAGCTGTGAGGCCTGAGGGCGTCACCGCTTAAGTATTAACCTCGCTCATATTTTACAAGCACCGCTTACTGGCCCAGTCCAACATAAACAGGTGTGCACGCCAAATTGGGCGTCATTGCTCCCCAGGCTAATGTCTTGTCTGCACTTATATATATAGAGTGAAGACTTTCACTTTACTATCTAAGAATCTAAAGTTATTTACAGTTTTGAATGTGCTCAGCCAGAATTTATATGATCAAGAAAAGTTGCCTTTGTGTTTAATATAGGTCTTTTAGTTGTGCTGGATTCACAATGAAACTCCTCAATTAAACCCAGTCACATCTTATTAATCATCATGCACAACCTTTACTTTTACTGGCTCTTTCTTTTAGCTTTCTTCATGCTGCTATGATAAGACACTGACATGAGTTTAAAAAATAATCTCTACTGCCTGTTCAAAAGAGCGATGCACAGTTCTGCAAAAACCCCAAACACACATCAGAAAGCCGTGCTGGTCCGTCATTTGGACAATACAGCTGCAGACGGATGGAGGCAGTCAGGTAGTGCTCAGAGTCCTCAGTCTGGGGTCTTGACGATCCCCACTTTGCCTTGTGGTCTATGATGTCACGCAGGGTTTTGCCTTTGAATGGCCATGTGTTCCTCACCACTAATATCAAACAGATGATGAGAAACCTCCAAATGATGGTCTTTCACTAAGACAAGCAGTCAAAACAAAGTTATAGGAACACAGAAAAACACCACTACGAGCAATCACGTGAAAAAAAAAAAAAGAAAAGACTATGCGTTCTTAATTGCTGCAGGCTGTGCTGTGGGCAGCGTCAAACTCTATTGTGAGCTCTTCTGCTTTGTTGAAAAATTTAACCTGCATTATCATGACACGAAGAATTTTTTTTTTTTTGTCCACAAGCGGCGCTAAGAGATGTTTTCAGCACAGTAGTACTTCCATGATTTTATAATACCTTAACCAAAGCTTTCACATCCTGGAATAACAAACAAGACTTAAAGGATTGCCCCAGAATAATCCATCATCCATGGGACTGTTAAACATCCCTTTCCTCAACTGAGGAGAAGCCTGTAATTGGAGCGCGGTGTCTGGAAGACAACAATCCTTCTCACTTGGTGTCTGGTTAATGTCAGGAATCAGCTCAGCAGACCTTTGACTCCTTGATTTTTAATTTCATCCCTTCGTTCGAGTCATTTATTTTTTTGCCACCCTTTCTTGTGTCTCTCACCTCATTGCAGATGTGTCTTATCTCTGAGGGGCCAAGCTTCTGATCTGAACGTTGGTGCCAAAGTTACAAATTACTAAAGGAGGCAGACCGCTGGAGCTAATTCGAAGGAATTTGGGAGGGTTTTTGTCACTTCACAAAAAAGGGAAGGAAACGTGAAAAAATGGCTTTGTTTACTGTCTAGATCTGGGTACCATCAGTTGGTGTACATCAAAGTTGCACATAACAGGCCCCGTCTAAAACTAACTACAACAACTAAAAGTCTTTTTGTTTTGTATGCCTTCGGCTAAGATCCATTTAATTACGTAAGCAGACATTATAAATTCTCTTTACAGCAGATGGGGATCAGTCTGTTCTGGGCTGCTTTATTGGTTCAAATCGAGTCAGTGGCCACCACCAGACTCTTTCAGGTTTCTGTCTTCCCTGTTCTCTTCAAATTGTTTAAATAAAAGCTGGCAGCCTCATGACTCCTTCACATCCTCCTTGAAGTCAGTTGAAGCTTCCCTGGTCTCCCAAAACACTAAAGACCCTGATATGTCTTGCCAGTGAACCCTGAATAGCTGGATCATATGATAAATTTGCATAAAGTTAATGCATGGCTTTGGCAGACGCAGGCTTCATCCTTTCCAGTGGTTTTTATGTTACCTCGCAACTGTCTTTTATTCTAACCGGGCCTTGAATTGGAAAAGTGGGTGCGTTTGCCCCCAGTGTGAATTAGACCATAAGCATTAGCTTGCAGAATATATCCCAATGAACTAATGATCCTGACACCCAAACAATAGCTGCTTTAGAAGAAGGCACACACAGCAGACTCTGTTTTTCTATCTCATATTTTTAATGACAAAATGTTTGTCAGAAACAAATGGATTTATTTTTCTCAATCCAGGGCATAGTATGGGGAGCTTATGCGGTTCCGGTCCCCTGGGCTTCAGACAACTAACAAAACACATCTTACTTCTGCTCTGCTGCCCACCTACAATGCTTTTCACATACAGGAGGACGAGTGTGAGCGTCCAGCAAACGGATGAAGTAGCGTGGCTCTCTTTCACAGAACCACTTCATAGAAAGAGTTGGATGAATCCACCGACATTGATCGTGCCCGTAAATCGTTTAAGGTCCGATTTTAAAATTTCCCACCGCTTCAAAAAAAAAACCAAAAAACAAAAAACTGCCATCTATAAACTTCTAAGCTTTTTCAATTTCTGTGATGAGCAGCATTAACAATAAGCATCAATCAGAGAGGACACTGACAGAGTGCATCACTTTGAAAACCAAAAAAAAAGAGTGAAAATGACAAGTTAACTATCATTAAATGATTCCCCGAGCCGAACACTCTTTTACTATATTCTTTGCACACAGTCCCCAACTCGCTCCGACAGCTGCTCCTACTTATATAGTGTACCCACTCTTTCTCCAAACCACTCTCAATTAGCTCCTCTCCTAAATAACCACTCTTTTCACTTGCAGTTTCCGGCTACACATGCACCTCCTTTCATCAAGCCATCCCATCCATCTCAAAAACACCCTCGCGAAAGAACTACACTCTTGTTTGTGTGTCTAAAAACAAGAGGCACACTGAGCCACTTCCTATTCACATCAGGTCATTTGCATGAAGGTTGTCTCCCCATTTAGTGACTCCGATCAGCTCTGCCAACACCGAAAAGCATGAGAGGCTTGAGTGTTGAGCCAGTTATTCTTTCATCCTGCATGCTAAATCCTCATTTAGTTTGTCCTGGTCTGGAATTGTACCTTTGAGATTACAATGTCATATGTACTATCTGCACTTCAACAGAAAATATGTAAAGCGGTGAGGTAAACATTCTGTATCATTTACTGGTGGCTGTTTTCACCAATGTCAGACAGCCCCAATTAATCTGAGAAAAAAAAAGCAATTCTGATTCAATTTGATGAATAATCACATTTTTCAGGGTTATTGGATATGTGTGTACGTGTGTTGTGCTGTTCATTTTTAATAGTTTTCCGATCTCCCTGCTACTCCTTGTTTTTTTCCTTCTCTTTTTTTGTGTTTCGGATCACATCTCGCTTGACACACACACACACACACACACACACACTCAGAGAAGAAGCTCCTTTCCACGCTGGGAGAGATAATTGACTTCTGTTCCATGCGTGCCACAATCAAGACAGGAGACCACAGCATATTACGAACATGTGCTGTGTACAAACCAGCATCAAAGTCAGCACATTGCTCGCTTTATTTATCCTTATTTTTAATGATTTATGCATCCTGATGCACTCGCCAGTTTGAGCGGTTGAATAACCGACTCCTACATAAAGCTGCAAACCTGGACACACACAATGAACTGATTTAATGTGTGTGTTTTTCTTCGAAGGGAGAACATTTAGGAAAATAATAGCTTTGGATGTTTGCTGGAACAGTTAATATGGGCAACTGAACACTGAGCATGAAAGTTCTTGTACCAACAGCAATAAAAAGAAAAATGTGGACTCAGGGTTCAAGGATAAGCTTTCTTGTATGTTTCACAATACAATTCATCATTAAATCAAACATGTCAGCTTTTTATTTTTGGAAAATGTATTCGCATCCTTGTCAAATGAAACAACGTTTTTATTTTAAATGGCTCCATCTGGAGTTATTTTAATCTATTTCAGAAGAACATAAATGTCAGAATGAGAATATTTGCTAGATATGTTATATTAATAAGTTATTTAACTGAGTAAATATGCACAAGTATTTACATGACAGCTGTGTTTGATCCATCTGAGATGCACCTCTGCTGGAGTAGAATAAGTTAAGACTGATGGATGTGTTACATATTAAAACAGCACTAATCATGCATCCTGCAAGACTAGGCTATATCAGTCACTAAATCTCTATAATGTGTGGTTATTAATGTGCAAAAGTTTTTCTACATTCTAACACTAATAATTAATATGTAAACCAAAACATAAACTGGCCTATGGAGCCTGGAGACCTCACATGACTAAGCTTAACAGACGGCAACAACATTAATAAGCACAAAAACAAAAACCAAAACATAAAGTGGTTGAAACTTAAAGTGCCACAAAGCACCGCATGTTTTTAGCCCCATGAACTGATACCCTCAGGTCGATCTGTTTCCACTGTGCATAGTGGATTATGAGAAGAATAATACCACTCTTGCATTTCTGAATCAAGCTGAAGCTAGATCTGGGAAGCAATAAGTTTAGCTTAGGAGGTCGGGTGAAAAAGCTACCTTGGCTTTCTCAAAATTTGAAAACTACAACTCCCAACACCTCAAAAGCTGAACAATGAACACAGTGTATCACTTCTGCTTAATCTGTGTACAGGTCATAGCTTAAAATCAATATTTATTGGTCTTAGTTACACGTGCTAACAACACCAGGGCACACAGACTTTCTGGAGTCTTGTTTTGGAGTTTCTATAGATTTTGTTAGTATTTTTGTAGCTTTCACTTATATCAGTTATAACATTTTACCTATCAAGTTTGATTTGAGAATGCTGATATATTGAGGGAAAAAAAGCTAGATAATCAGAAAGATAAACGGTAGTTGGTAAAAAAATGTTCCTAATCTGTCTGGTTTAAAAAAAAATCCACGTCAGACTGGTTCGTCTTTAGCAAACTGTGTTGTACTTACTGTAGTGGAGCACTCTGTGAAATAAAGTATTATTAGTTACAGTTACGTGCTTTGGATAATGCGTCTAAACATTGGGTTGTTTTACAAAATGTCTCATCTTTCTCATCATCTTCATGTTCCCATGTCTCAGAAGTACAGTCAATAATACCATGACCAACAGTGGAGGCATTGTTATTCCTAAAATAAGAGCCAATAAAGTAGAATTATCCTTTATTGTTGTGGTGGAGCTAATTAAATTTTTTTAAATTCAAGAAAAAAAATCCAACTATAGTCCTAATGAGAGAAAGCAAATGTAAATCATTGGACCCAAGTGGAATAAGTTAAGAAAAATATTTTAAAAATGACACATTGAACTATAACGTCTTGTCCAGCAGCATATCAAGATAAACCATTATTACTCTACAAAAAATAAGGCAGACTGCAGGTTCAGCTTCAGTTAATGTTTTAGCAATGAACTGTCAAACTGAGTCAAATGGGAGTTTATTTAGTTCTCATGAGTTGTATCTGAATAGAAAATATAAGTGTAGCACTCGACAACACATCCAGCACAATTTTAATGTCAATGTTAATGAAATGAGGAAGGATCTCTGCAGTTATATGTGTCTCCTTTGCTACGGTCTCTTAACTGAAATTGCAAAAACCATCCAAACAGATGTTATTGGTCGGGGAAAAAAAGGACTGCAAACAAACTATGCTACAATAAAATAGAACCAAGGTGTTTGAATGTGAAACACACTGTAATGATGTCTTTTGTTGTCAACACACCAGTAACAATGAAACCTTGTATTGTCTTTCTTTTTTTAAAAAAAAAAAAAAATAAGGGGTTGAAGGAACAAGGGTCATCTTCTATAGACACACATCTTCAGTCAGAATTTCTAAAAAGTATTTTTCTTTACACTTAGTACAAAAAAGACATCTCTACCCGTTAGTGCTTTGTTTTAAGATACTATTACATAAATAGACAATTTATTTTCAGTGTTCAGAACAGACAGTTCCAGTGTGACTGGAAAACTAACATACTCCACCATATTCCAGTTGGCAGCAGAGGGTTTAACAGAGTTCTCCACTCAGATTTTGGCGCACCCCAACGCGCCACACTTACAAAATGTTCTTCATTTCTACAGACCTCCAACATAAGCCCCAGCCAATCTCGGGGGGTTCGTGTCAAGATTAACTCATGCTCCCCTTTAGTGAAAATACGGCAAAACCCATAAAAGTTTTTAAATCAAAGACTTGACAGATCGGTCCCCTCATCAGCTGTTGTCATTTTGATCAACTCCCACGTTACTGTGAGTTCCTCTCCATGCAAGCGTCTATGCATTGAACAATTAGAAATCCCAGAGTGCAAAGCACAGTTCCCCACCGAGGGCCTCGTTCTTTACCTGTAGTCCCGACTTCACTGTGGATACATCAGTACATGAGCACAATCTCTATGTGACAGTAAAGTTCTGGGGTATTACCTACTGATATTTAGCATTTACTTTCTGAAAAGCAATTAGATAGATTCTGCTGTGCAAAACGATGCCACGAAGAGCTGATAGTGTAAATTCCATTTCTTTATTTGAAAACCTCTCACTGGTCGAAGACACACTTTCATCTCGCTCTCGCAGGTCTTCCTCATTCAGCTTGTCCTTGGCGCCTCACTTCCTGGCACTGAGTTCCTCGTGTCCTTATTTGCAGGTAAACACCTCAGTCCTCTCGCTGCACGTGTTGCATTTGACGAAACAGCACCATTGGAACTTACAGTTGCACTGCCACACTTTGGTGTACTGGTGTGTATTGTAGCCCCGACCGCAGCACATAAGGTCGCAGCCGTCCGTATGTGGTGAGGTGCGGTTGCACAGGCGTCCCTGGGTGCCCACGCTCCCCGTGGCTGCGTCCTCCTCGCAGTAGTTGGGTGACCTCTCAATGTAAACGAGGTCCGTCTCCATGGGCTTGCGGTAGCCCTGAGTCTGCTTTACCTTGAGGTGGGTGGGCTGGCGCAGTCGGCTAGCCCGGACTACCTCCACGTGCACAGCTTCGTTGTACTTGTCCTTGAGTACGTAGCCGATCTCGCGGAACTTTGGAAGCGTCGTCCAACAGGTCTTGGTGGTGCAGGAGCCTGACACGCCGTGGCACTTGCACTCCAGCTTCATCCTTTCTTCTAAAACCTGGGGAGTGATAGAAAGAACGAAACAGATGAAGAACTGCAGCAAAAACAGACATTCACTTGAACTTCAAATCTCAAATAAATGACTGAAGACCAAGGACAAACCCTTGGGTGTAGATTACAGTTTTGTTGAGCTCCATGTTCCTCCATTGTGCTGGAGAGGAGCACAAATGTTGAGATACACATTGCAAAACATGTAAAATCAATCTGCAGCTACAGACCACATTGGAGGTATGGAACAAAATATGTCCAATTCTAGTTATTGACATGCACTCAGCTATGCACCAGAGATGTTTGAATACATACAAGCCCTTATTGTTTTTGCTGTGGACACGCCATCGTATCACTACGAATACAAAACTAACCTACAAGTCAGAATTACACAGTCACACTAGTCTTTTCACACACTAAGCCACTGATATTTTCTTAGATAAAAACATGTTAGCATTACATTATTTAGCCTTTTTTGTGCACACAGACAGGTAAATTGTTTAATTGATACTATACTGAATATTACAGTTTATTATTAAATAGTACATTTTAGGCAGATGCTTGCTTAGTGTTCCTGCTGTGTAAGGAAAATCAAAGACATCTCTTTGAAATTGTTAAATTGCTATGTCAAAACTGTGATGGCAATGGGGCATATCTCCACCGATGCTTCTAGCGAGCAGTGATTGTGCTGATGATTTACCACCGCAGGCATTAAAACTTGACAGTCGAACATTACCAGTCTGGCAGAGCGCTGATCTCTGTGAAGTAGACAAATCCAAGCCTATCTGAATTTTCAGTCGTGGGTGACATGCAGTTGCATGTCCTAAAGGAGGGGAAATTGTACTTACTGGTAATATCCCTTCCTGTAATTTTGTCTACCTTTCCAAAACCACATCAGTGCTCGAGAAAAATAAACATGGATCTCATACAGCTATCAATCATCTTGGGAAATCTGAATCCAGATTATTGTTTCATTAAATGTGTTGCACATGCAGCTGTTTAAAACAAAGACAAACTTGTTTAATTATTTACAGCTGAACAGGACTCTCAAGGTTTACGACTCCTTCAACAACATTGTAATAAATAAAAGAAAGCCATGTTGCCATGTGGCATTAAAAGGGATTTATATATTATTATCACAGATGTGATAATATGATAATGCCCCCCCCTCCCCCTTTTTTTTTTTGTAGCTTACTCCCTTCAACAAACTTGGTCTTCGTTTTTCTTTGAGGTTTTCTCCAACATATGGTACACAGGGCAGAAAGTCTTCTCTTTGCTCCCTAATCCTTGGGCATATGGTAAATATTGTATGCTGTCGTCAGTATTTAAGTGTCAATCCTTTGCCCCTTGAGACTAAGGAACTAAAAAACCTCAAAATAAAAATTGTACCCTCTTGAGTTACGGCTGAACTGTTCCCAAAGGCAAAGGAACAGAGGAAAGAGGGGGGTGGAGTTCAAATGGGTCCTATTAACACATCTCTAATAGTCTTGACATGACTCTTTTAACCCAATTAAGAAGCGCGGACTTGCTTGAATGAAGCATGTGTCTTTGTTGTATAAGTTGCTGGTTGGTTGTGCAGCTTTTTCCTGGCACTGCGCCTCGCCGGCGGCCCTAGTCATCACTTCTATCAGACGCTTATGAATCGTACACAAGTGATGCTCAATATCTCTGTCTGTCTTGTCCGTGCACTCATGTGGTCACAGTTTCCCAATTTAAGGACATTTGATTGAAAAAACATGAGCTCGCCTGACTACATAAAAGCCGGGGTCAGCTGTCAATCTCGCCTTGGATGTTGATTCAAACTGAGGATTTCCAAAAATGCACAGCACAAAAACCACAAGGAATGCCTGGCATAAGGAGTCTGACAGATGCATGGAAACATTTACTTAAACTGTGTCCATCAAAGCCTCTGATCTGTTACTGATTAGTCCAATATGACCAGATTCCCATCCAAAGATTGCTTGTCAAACACACACCCCCTATTGCAAGATTTAAGGGATGTGGTGATTCGCTGGGTGTTCTTTTACATTTGGTTAAGTCACAGGATCTAATCTTGTAATTGCAACTCTCTGTTTTAATGATGGTTCTTATCACTGATTAGAAAACATAATCTCAGCTGGATCTCATTGCAGGCTCAATTTCTTCCCTCGTTAGAACCAGGATCATTTTTAGTAACTCATTTCTCTTTTAACGCACAAATACTTTTTACAATATAATAAGGCCACCAAATAGGGAGGGACTTTATTTTCTTTTAAAGTTGCATTAAAGCAAACACTCATTAAATAATTAACAAAGTCCCAATTTTTCTCTTGTCATTTACAATGTCTCACATCCTGATACAATCCAGATGCAAATTAATCCTAATTAACGTCTTAGATTTTCTTGCTTTTAAGCAAATCATCGTCCCCAGTTCAGTCTAGGCAGCAATGCACCTGATGCTGTATACAATCTAGTTATTTACACTTAGGAATCCACATTGATGGCGAGCTAGCCAACAACAATCCACAAACTAGGCACAAATCAACAAATCACAAGTATGGACTATAAGTGAGGCTGAAGTTTTAGTACCAGACGTGATCTGAACAACTTGTCTCGAATGCTCCTTAGACATATTTACACTAAAATGAGCAGCTTTTTCAATGTATAAGTATCCAGTCTGGCCAACATTCGTGAAGTGCACGATCAAGTGAACTGAAAGATACTCAGAGAAGGTTCACACCTCTTTCTTCCAGTCTAAGAAGGACTTTCAGGCAAAGGCTTTCCTTCTGTCTCAGCAAAAAGGAATCTGACTTTTGCACAGCCTCCTAGAATCCGAGTTTCCGAGCTCCAGAGGGAGAACAGCAACAATGCCAGTTCCAACCCTGACAGTCCAACATGCCAGCACCCTGGCATGCAGTGTAGACCCTATCAGTCTGCTGTGTTAACACCGGCATTGTCGGCCTGCTTTCACACCCTGAATAGACGCAGTCAAATGGCAGTGACATGTTTTGGTATTGTGCAGACAACTGCAATAATATCCTGTTCCTGACTTTACACTTCATAATTCCATGAAAGGAACTGGAAAGGGGGAATGGCAGTCCTCCATCTGGCAACCACTGGCTAAGCTCTATTTTCCCAGTGGACACAATAAAGCCCAAGTTATTGATTAGATTGTCAACATAACATCATCTCTTCTCTTTTATTTACCCCTCACACATACTCTCCCTTCTTTCTTTACTCCACGACTGCTCGGAGATGACTAATAGCAAACAAACATGTCCATGATGAAGTTTGCCAGCACACTCTCAGAAATAAAAGACTCCCTCCTAGAATGGAAAGAAATGCCAATAAATTGCTGAAGCAAAACAAGCTGCTGAAAGGTTAACCGGGTAATCAATCAACCCACAGCTTGATCAATCACAGTTCTCCGTCACATGACTGTGTGACTTTTAGCTCTTTATCTGGGACTGTTTGCTCCTTTTCAGAGGAACACATTGGCACACCCATCCCTGCATCTATGTATGCGCACACATGTTTGTCATGAATTGATTCATAAAATCTTTTGTATCTTTGGAGGAAGATTAGTTCATGTCACCTATTATCGATGACTTACTTTGAGGATAAATCTGCTTCAGGACTACTTGGGTGTGATTTTTTTTTGTTTCTGCACCATATATATCACATATGACAACATTGTGCTCAACAAAGTATTTGGTTGTTGCTGACATCGTTCGGATGCAAAAGAAGGGAACAGCTTAACCTGATCATTTAACCCACTTTGTTCAGAGTTGAAAACAAAACTAAGTGCAGCTGAAATGTTGATAAAATAAAACCCTTTGCACAGAAAAATCTACAGAAAGTGTGAAGAGTCCAGGCTCGACCACAGTAAACTATACTGGATGTTTATATCAGCCAATTTTGTTATTCATAATAATATAAAGTTTTACTTCATTTGTGTTTCCACATATGTTTGGCTAAGTTTCTTTTTTGATCCAGTTTAGTTTTGGGAGACTGTTTTTCCAGATCCAGCTCTAACTAAGTGAGCCCAACATTATTATTACCAACCTCATATATTGGCGAGAACAGCTTTAAAAAAACCATTCATTTTATAACGGTGTCCCTTGATTCACAAAGACTCAACTTAAAAAACATTTGTTGTTCCAAAAACACTCGTGGTAACGCATATTTGAGTATCTGACAAGCCTCTTTACCTTTCTGCCTGCCTCATTGTTATGCAAATTCATCAGGCGACGAGGAGTCTTTTTAATCTCGCGGGCATCCACAAAGCGTCGAGAGAACTCGATGCCATACTTGATGTCGGCTGAGCAGCCTCCCCACTTCCAGCCTTCCTCCTGGTTGTAATAACCCTGCTTCTCACGGTCGCAGCCGCACTGGCTCAGGTTGCCCTGGCTGCATGCCGCTGTGATGGCGTGGGCCACCCCTGCCGCCGTGATGGCATAGGTGAAAGCTGCTTCCCGGCTGCCTGAACGAGAGAAAAGATGCTGTTATTAGAATGAAATGAGCAAGTTGTAGATGATCTATGGGTAACTGAGGTTATGAAGTTATGTAGTAAAGTACAAAACACAACACATGTTGGCCTCAAATAGAGGAGTACGCAGCGAATGACCGAAAAAAATGGCAAAATCATCTATTTTTAAATTCCATTTTAGGAATATCAACTCAAAGACAAAATCCTCTCCTGCAAAGCAAACTTTCATTATGCCACTCCGAGTCCAATATTTTACAGTGCAGAGGATTACATCTTCATAGACAGTGAAGATGTTTACAGTCTGTCTCATCGTCTTGATAAGCCACCAATTTTCCTTCCCCCCTCCAAACCAGATTCCTTCCTGCACCTTGGTAGAAATGTGGTCAAATTTCCGACCGCAAAGTCCTTGGGCCCAGCCTGCAAGAGTGCAGCGTTGGAATTCCAGTGTGGGGAGAGCTGGTCTAGGTGCTGTCCAAAGTGCTGAAATCCTCTGCAGGAGCACCTTGTACTGCTGCCCACACTGCACACAGCTGGGGTCTGCAGGTCTCGCTGCTTCGCTCACGCTGATCACTGACGAGAAGGGAACACTGTGCAGTGCCAAAACCAGGTGGTACCAGGAGTTCAGGAGATCAGATCAGCAGCTAAAGATCAGTGGGATCAATTTTACCTGTGTAGTGTGTTGTACTTCAGTGTGAAACTCTTCTGGTTCAATTCACACTCGGTGCTTTCATTTTATCATGCAAACACTTAAAATACAAGTTTGCACTATTCTTTATGGGTTGAGAAAATTCTTTGGCTGCTTGGGGTTATGCTTCTGGATAAGATGCAGAATCTGCGCTGCCATCAGTAAATAAAAAAAGACGGTTTCTCAGTTCTGAAAAACTATATAGAGAGTAAAGAAACAAGGTTGCCACTGTATTAAAAGCAAACCTCTACTTACTATTAAATCTCTAAAAAAAACAATGTTTGTGTAAAGTCATGTGGAAACAAATTTGTGCTGCAAACTACTGGTTCCACAATAATGTATTGTATTTCATACTTTTGCAGGTAATAACTGCACATCCTCAGGCTGGTACCAGCAAGGATTTCATTTCTCCTTGATAAATGAACAAAATTGTTAATTTGTAATTAATTTTAGTTAATTTTTCAGCAGATTAATTATTCCATCACTAAAAATAAGTCTTTTTTTGTCATGGAATGATTCGATCTCATAAAAGTGACTTGGAATATCAGTTATCGGTGTAAGGTGAAAAAGAGAACTAACGAAGGCACACATTTAGACAAAAGCACGATGACAATAACCACACTGTACAACTCCTGTCACTTCATATTTCAGAGCCCTCTACTGTTCTTCTAATGGCTACAGAGAGATCTGACTTAAAAGGCACCTCCTGGTCTAAAGAAGGCTGTGGGTTATTACAACCTTGGTCTCCCTTCAAGTGGCAGTAATCTGGAAGGGGCCAAGCATCAGAAACGAGGCGAACCGCAGAGTGTTTCAAGGAGCCTTTCAGCCTTTGGAGAGGAATGTTTTGTAATTCTTTTGATGTGTGTTGTGTAATGTACTCAGTTGCAATTATTGAAATCTCTCTAGGTAAAATGCTTCTTTTTTTTCTGCACTTCAGAGAGCCAAAAAAGAAAAAAAACCTTGATGATTTACCAGTTCTTCTGTGGTTTTCAGAGAATCATTTTAGAGGCTCTTCAGATCAGTTTGACAACAAACATCGCTGGTTTTCTTCAGATCTAAACAGCAAGTCGTGGTTCTGGATATTGTGACTCGATGTCAGAATAGACTGCAGAAGATCTGGATGTGAAGGATGTGTCAATCATCTGTGGTCAGAAATTCCTACCAGACTGATTTATCGGTAAGTAAAGTTGAGCAACATCTAGATAGAATAACATTTTTTTAACGATTATGTTTTGGGGCTTTTTTTTGGCCTTTTTATAAGGACAGCTAAAGAGCGACGGGGAAGAAGGCGAGTGAGGCGACAACACATTACTTATTTCTTGTGAATAATGATTATTATTGGTGAATGCTTACTAGTTAAATCATAGTGTAATGCATTGGACTATATTTTCTCCATATTTGCTCCAACATTTCAGATATTATCAGTGGACTGGGGTTTAAGTAAATATACAAAGGACAGCTGAACCCAATTTGAATCTGGTGAAACACCAAATACAACAATAAATTGCCAGATACAGCAAGCATTCAGTAGTCACAATAAATAATATGTCAGATATTGCAGACATACCTCCAGTCTCGTCCACCAAAAACAAGAATATCTTCAAATGAGCAACCGGAGGAAATGTTTACATCTGCAGCAGCAAAGTATAACAATAAAGTGAAAATTATAAGGAAACAAATGAAATGCCTCAGACATGAGAGAAGAAAAAACAGCACGTCCTGTGTTATTTTGCCTGACCAAATAAACTTTCAACTATTTTAAAAGTTACTAGATGTAAAATCTTTGCTTATTTTGCCTCATTTATGAGCCTCTGCAGTGAAGTCCGATAAAACCAGGCAGCAGCCTGGCCATAACTCCTTTGTATAAAGTTATATAGTTAAATGTATTTGTCTTGTGTGGTTTATATTGCCCATGTGTACTCTGTTTTTATGCAACTTTTTCTTTTACAAAGTAATTTTCTTTACGTACTGCTAAATATAATGATGTGCACAGCCATCTGCAGCTGTTTTCCATTTCATTTCCTCCTCGTTCTTCAGAGGGAGTTTTTACACCTCTTATTCTAGTCTCTGGGGCATTTTCTGAACTCTCAGAGATGTTTTCACCCAAAGCCACCGTTAATTTCCTATCCTGGCACTGGTACTGTGGAGCTAATACCACGGCCACAGGTTTGCCCGTTGGGGACTGACTCACAACCACTTGCTCCTTTGGTTAGCAGCAGAGCTGTGCCCCACCAGCTTGTGGTAACATTCTGCTGCCCCCACCTCACACACATGCACAAACGTAGGCGCGTGACTGCGACATGCGCACATTTACACACATACACACGCACGCAAACACTCGGTGACCGGCCACATAATAAAAATACACTACGCGCTCACACTACCCTCCACCCTCACACACATACACTGTTAAAAACACATTTGCACACACAAACAGAGCGTCACTGTAATGTTTAAAACAGGATAAAGGCAGTTTCCAGAGAAAGGGTGGTTCCCTGAGCCATAGATGCGTGCCCATTTCTGGACCCATTGAGTTGTGCTGTTCATGGGGAAAATGATGATGATGGGGCTTGTACTGGTTGTCACCCCCCGGTGGGTCTGGCACTGCCAAGGCTCTGTCTGGCCATAATGAAAGCCAATTACACAAGGCATGGAACTGTGGAAATCAAGCCCCTCTTTTTTGTTTGTGCAATGAACCAATGAAGACATCGGAAATCAGATTTTTAGCACTTAAATATCCGTGCGTGTGGAGCATTTAATCTCCCGCATGCCCATGTAGTTGAAATTCATACTCAAAGTTATTCACTCCAATAAATGTTCCACTGCACCCTCAGCTAAATGTATCCTCAGGTTTAAATGAATGTAAAACGCTTGTTGGGTAGAGGAGAAATGAACAGCTCTGCCCCCAAAGCAGCAGAAATTAAAGGTTGAATGGTTCTGAACAAAACAAATATTTTAACATAACCACAACCAGGACAGTCACATGTTGACAACAATGCTCAATTGTGTTTCATAGATCCTGTGTGTGCAACATCAGTTTACTCCTGTGCCCTCAGGAAAGAAAGGCCCCACTTTGCTGAACAAACATGCATTTGATGAAGGAAAAGCACCCATAACAGCAGCAAAAAGCCCTAAAGAGGCTGGCCCCAGAGTCCTGACAGCCCTCCAGGAGGAACCACCCTGGGATAGCCTCGCTAGCTGCCAGTGGAAAATTGGAGTGACCAGAAAAACCTCAATGAACTTGGAAACATCCAGGAGAGAAGAATGGGGGAATATTAAACCAGATGTCTAATGGAGTTTAGTGGCAAGTGTCTGCTGCGCCAGCCAAGAAAGTAGGCAGGAAGAAGATCAGCCTCACTTCGCTCAGAACAGGTACAGAAGCTCATAACCGAGCACAAAATATCCTGTTACTGTATATCCCTGTGTCAGGAGCTAAAACCAGAAATGTACTGAAGAATACTGACTCAGTACGCTTTGGCCTTCGCATTGACTGACCACACCACTTTGGACAGCGGCCCCTGCTGTGATGTCCGTTGTGCCTTTTGACCATCTGCCGAAACTGGGACACAAAAAGAAATCTCTGGATGTAGTGGCTCGCCGCTAAAACGGCAATCTGTGTTTAGAGACACAAGCAGGCGCGCCGCTTGCCAAAATTCACATGACACAGCAACAGGAGATTTACAACCGACAATACTATACAGGGAGAGCCGGTGTAGTATAGGCTAGCTGACGTAGTAGCACTGCCGCTGACCTCAACGGGCCTCGCTTTCTTCACCGATCACAGGCCACGGTTCGGCTATGTTGCTGACAGGAGAGGAAAAAGGGAAAAGATATACTGAAGGGACTTGGACAAAGGACTGGCTGTGGAGGCCAGAGCCGTGTCCAAAAAGCAGCTCAAGGTCAGTGTTGTTGTTTGTGAAGAGTTGATATGTTAAGAAGAAATTTGTTTTCCAGCCAGGGAGACAAATGGACGACATGAAACAGCCTCACTGCGTTTTACACTTTGCTTTTCTAACTGCTTGCATTCATTGGTCACTGTTATGGCTAATCTCACCTGTACAGAGCAGACAGTGTGTATTTTTTTCATTTTAGTTGCACGTTTATTCATATTAGCATCTGTTAGAAAACGCTACTGACCACCAGGAGGAAATTCCTTCATTCCTTGTCAGCATACTTGGACGTACAAGTCGATTTAAATTCTGGTAATTCAGGACACATAGGAAGTGTGCCGTCGTGAAGCTGCAAGAGCGCCACAGCAAAGATACGACTCAATTACTGCAAAAGTGAGGAGGACCAGATATAGTTAGGG